TAAGCCCCTCTTCATCTAATTAAATTCAGTCCACCTTTTAAGATTCATCTGAGATATTATCTTCCCCAAAATCCCTTCTCTGACACTTCCAGACTGGCTTAGCTGTCTACTCTGAGTTCCCATGATACTCTGAATATATATCTACCACTGCATTTCTGCCTTGTGTAAATTATGTGTTTACATTTATCTCAGTTGAAAAACTTAGATTATCTAAAAACTTAGATTATCTTGAAAGCAAAAAATTGTGTCTTATTCATATTTGTCTTACTCATATCCCCAGCACTATCATAGGCTTTGGCACCTAGGAGGTACTTCATCAGTTTTGTTAGGTGAATAGCAAATGAAGGAACTTTGTGAAGCTCTTAGAGATGCTTCATGGGAAGAATATAGTTCCTTGTCCACTCAGTATGTTTCCATTTCTTCCCAAGGCAGAAGTAGCTTCCAAATCAGGAGATTCAATATATCCACTTGTGGCAGATTGCATTTTCCAAAGATGGCCATATGCTCTGACCCAGTATCCAATATATGGTACCGTTTGTCCCATAGCCAAGATTCCCAGGTCCAGGAATCAAGGGGCAGAGATGTGAATGGTGCCACTCACTATTACCTCTAATGAGCCACTAGCAAAATGTTCACTTCCAGTTCCTGTGACTTTACACTCTTCTGACCTAGATAGAGGTCTTAGCTCCAAAGGCAGGAATGTCTCCACCGGGAGACACAACAATGATTCCATTGAACTGGAAGTTAGATTGCCACCTGGTCACTTTGGCATTTGCATGCCTCTGAGTCAACAGGAAAAGAAAAGAATGACTGTGCTGGCTGGGGTGATTGATCCTGATCACCAAGGGAAAACTGAACTGCTTTTCCACAAGACAGGTAAAGAAGAGTGTGTCTGGAATACAGGAAATTCCTTAGGGCATTCCTGCTATTACCATGCCTCCTGATTAAAGTCAATGGAAAACTGCAACAACCCATTCCAGGCAAGACTAATGATCCAGACCCTTCGGAATAAAAGTTTTCATGAAACTTTTCATGAACCTTCAGAAAAAAAGGTTTCATGAACAGCTGTGGTGCTTGCTTAGGGCAAATGGAATACAGAACAGATAGTGGGAAAAGGTACAGTAGTTATAAATACCGGATATGACCACATAACTAGTTATAGAAACAAGGACTGTAATTGCCATGAGTATTTCTTCCTTATTTTGTTATGAATATATTTGTGTGTTTATAATGTATATATGTATGTGTATATATGTATATGTGTGTTTATATGTGTATATGTGTGTATATATGTTTGTATATATGTATTTATGTATATATACATTTGTTTTGCCATATGTATGTATATACATATATGGCAAATATCTTTATTTATGTATTTGGTAGAGACAGGGTCTCACTATGTTACCCAACCTGGTTTTGAACTGGGCTCAAGGGATCCATCTGCCTCGGCCTCCCAAGGTGTTGGGATTACAGACATGAGCCACTGTGCCTGGCTGCAAATATCTTTGTTTTCTTCCCTCTTATCCCCTCATGTAACATAAGATACACTCATTTTATATTATAGTATCTAAGTATTGTTAATTTTATATCTAAATATTGATATAAAAATAGAATGTCAAGGAGAATAAACATCATCCAAGAGTTTTTACATCCTCTCCTGGGGAAGGAGCTAGTGTATTTTCCAGTGTACACAGGACAGTTGTATCATCTTAGGTGGAATTATGACCTTGTTACTGTGTTTATTTGGAGATTAAGTATGGTTTAAGGAGATGCGTAGGGGCGCCAAGTTGACAAGGCATGCATGTGTGATGTTTAATATTATGTATCAATATATGTGGGCTATGGTGCCCAGATATTTGGTCAAACATATTCTGGGGCCAGGCACGGAGGCTCATACCTGTAATCCCAGCACTTTAGGAGGCCAAGGCAGGCAAATCACTTGAGGTCAGGAGTTGGAGACCAACCTGGCCAACGTGGTAAAAGCCTGTCTCTACTAAAAATACAAAAAATAGCCAGACATGGTGGCAGGCATCTGTAATCCTAGCTACTCAGGAGGCTGAGGTGGGAGAATCACTTGAACCCTGGAGGCGGAGGTTGCAGTGAGCTGAGATCACACCATTGCACTCCAGCCTGAGCAACGGAGAAAACTCCATCTCAAAAAAAAAAAAAAAAAAACCAGAAAAACCAAACATATTCTGGATGTTTCTGTGAGGATGTTTTTGGATGAGATTTATATTTAAATTGGTGGCTCACACCTGTACTGCCAGCACTTTGGGAGACCAAGGTGAGGTAGGAGGATGGCTTGAGCCCAGGCATTTGAGATCTGTCTGGGCAATATGGCAAGATCCCCATCTCTACAAAAAAATACAAACATTAGCTGGGTGTAGTCACATGTGCCTGTAGTCCCAGATACTTGGGAGGCTGAGGTGAGATCACTTGAGTTCAGGAGGTCAAGGCTGCAGTGAGCCATGATCAGGCCGCTGCACTCCAGCCTGGGTGACAGAATAAGATGCTGTCTCAATAAATAAATAAGTAACCAAATGAATGAATAGGTGGCCTTTGAGTAAAGTGGATTGCCCTCCATAATGTGGGTAGGCCTCGTTCGGTTAAAGGCCTTAATAGAACGAAAGGCTGACCTCCCCCAACAAGAGGGAATTCTCTAGTAGATGGTCTTTGGGCTTCAACGGCAACATCAACTCTTCCTGGGTCTTCAGCCTGCCAGCCCACCCTATAGATTTTGGACTTGCTAGCCTTTTATAATCATGTGAGGCAATTTCTTAAAAAAAAAAAAAATCTCTTTCTATATACACACACATCCTATTGCTTCTGTTTCTCTGGAGAACTCTAACACATTACCTCACCAATTTATACCTTGTCCCATGTTTTCTTAAAATGTAATGCTGAGTCTGAGCACTATGGCTCACACCTATAATCCCAGCACTTTCCAAGGCCAAGGCGGAAGAATTGCTTAACTCAGGAGTTCAAAACCAGCCTGGGCAACATAGTGAGACCTTGTCTCTAAAAAAAAAATAAAAAAATTAGCCAGGTACGGTGGTGCAAACCTGTAGTCCCAGCTACTTGGGAGGCTGAGGCAGGAGGACAGCTTGAGCCTGGGAGATTGCGACTGCCGTGCATCATGATTGCAGCACTGCACTCCAGTCTGGGAGACAGAGCAAGACCCTGTCTCAAAAAGAAAAAGAAAATGTAATGTTGACGCTCCTCCTTCAAGTGGTGGCATCTATGATCCCCCCCTTTGAATCTGAGCAACCTTGTAATTATCTTAATGGATAAAATGAGAAGGAAATGACACCACTTGACTTCTGAAGCTTGGTCATTGAAGACCACACGGCCCTGGGGATGCTCACCTTTGGAATAAAGCCACGGCATTGTGGAAAAGCCCAGGCTGCAGCTGGCCAACAGTCCCAGCTGGGTCTCATCCCAGCTAGGATGAGCGTTAACTGAGTCATGTGAGTGATGACCTTGTCATGATTCCAGCCCCTGGACAAGGTGAGTATTGTGGAACAGAGATAAGCCATCCCTGCTGCGCCCAGGTTCCTCACCCTTAAAATCTATGAGTGAAGCAAACACATGTTTTAAGACAAAAACATATTGGGGTAATTTGTTATGCAGCCATAGTAACTGGACCACCACCATTCAGATCTACAGTGGAAGCAGCCTTCACAAATTCCCATTTTTATTATTGTATCATAGGAAACAGGCAGTATAAATTCTTATATTTAGAATTGCTTTTTCCAGGCATTTTGAAGATTCATGACCATCTTTTTTACTACCTGCCCCTCTTTTTCATATGGCAAGTGGTTTTGTTTCAGTCTGCTAAAAAAAAAAAAAGAAGAAAGAAAAAAAAAATCACAGATCTTGTTAACAAGAAAACCTGAGATCAATTTTACAGACAGGAAGGAGGTGCAGCAAAGCAAGGAACCTGGGCGGGAGGCTGAGAAAGCGAGTCTGAGCTCTGTGTGCAGGCGCAAAATGGCTCTGCTGCAGGTGATGGAATTTGGGGATCCTGGCAGATTCTGAGCTGCTGGATTTGGAACATATGTCTGATGTACATTCCGTTCTTAAACATCCATAAGTTCAGACTCCAAATGTGGCACCATCTCCCCTAGGGCTGACAGCGTCACTCACAGGGGCCGATGAACACTCAAGATGGCTGGCATGGGAGACAGGGCCATTCATGCCTGCCGGCCAGTCGGCAGCCTACCATGAATTGTGTCCCTGCCTGGCTTGCGTATGCAGAGAGTGAGGCAGTTAGTGAGATCTCTTTTTCTGTTTTACAGTCCCTCTGAAACTCATCCGGGTTGCCCTTTGTCTCCTTCTCCCCATATATCTGGAGTGATGGACTTTATGGCCACTTCTTCAGGGGATACAGAATTATAGATCTCTGGATTTATGTCTGTTTGCCAGGCCCCCTCTGGTCCCTGCACCATAAGGTGAATGCCGGGGCAGTGAGAATGATGTTGCATTCTAATAGATCTGGACCAGTTTCTGACAGCTTATTTTGACAAAAGCATAAAATTCAATGATTGTTGCTCAACTCAGAAGTTACAGGAAATACGGGGCAGGGAAAGGATGTTTAAATGTGAGCCTCCCTGTCTTCAAACTGCTCTGTGAGTCTGGTAAATTGTGAAAAACACAGAAAGCTAAGCCAACAAATTTAATGACAATGGTGAGTCTAGAAGCAACATAATTTACCCCAGAGAATGTGATATGAACATAGTTTTTCCTGAGACTGAGGGATCAGCACCTGCCACGTGAACAAATAAGGGGGTCTGTTAGGGAAGCAGGGATATGGTAGCCAGCCTCTGGGTTGCTTGCCCCACAAAAGATCCTTGTCTACTGGAATTCACACCTTTGTGTGTATTAGTCCTCTTCCATGCTGAATGGGCCTGTGTGACCACTAAGATATCACAGAAGTGATAGTGTGACTTTGATGGCTATGCCATAAAAGATAATATTTATTCTGCTTTGTTCTCTAGGATGGAGGGGCCCCAGCTGCAATATCATGAGAACACTGAAGTGGCCCAGGGAGAGATGTACATGGAGGAAAGCAGAGGCCTCCCACTCACTGCCAGCACAGACAAGGGAGTGACCAAGCTTTAAAAACTGATCTTTCAGCCCTAGCGAAGCCTTGGGATGACTGCAGTCCCAGCTTGCAGCTTGGCTACTACTGTAAGAGTGACGCCAAGTGGAACCTGCCTAGCCAAGCTGCTCCTGAATTCCTGTTCCACAGAAGCTGGGAGTAGTAATAAATGTTTATTGTTTTAAGTTACTAGATTTTGGGGCAACTTGTTTTGTAGCAGTAGATAACTAATGAGAGCATACAAATTAGGATTAGGTTTGGCTGCGTGAGAAAGACCGCCCCCATTTCCCCTTCCTGCAAAGAAAGAAGATAGATGTTTATTTCTCTCTCATTTAAGAAATCTAGAGTCACAATTTTTGGCTGCTATGGTGCTCCAACGGTGTCAGAGATGCAAGCTATTTCTCTCTTATTGTTCTCAATATATGGCTCTCATTTCATGGTCCAAAATGGCTGCTCAAACCCCAGCCATCACATCCTAATTCCATCCAACAGGAAGGAAGAAATGAAGAAGAACACAACACCTCCATTATGGGAATTTCCCAGAAGTCACATTTGACACCTCTGTTTATGTACCACTGGTCAGAACATGGGCATATGGGCAAATCTAGCTACCAGGAAGGCTGGCAAATAGAGTCTTTATTCTGAGCAGCCGTATGTCCAGCTAAGTCAGAAATTTAAGGAAAAAGAGAAATAAACATTGGGGAAGCAGGATTTGCTGCAATTTGCTACCTTAGCTGAATCTGAATGATAATTAGGAGTTTTCCAAGAAGATGGGTGTTACTATAGGTAGTTATATTGTAAATGCACATACTATGTTACAGAAGATGGTATATTATAAATGGCTGCAAACTCTTTGCTATTTACTGCATTGAATTGTAGAGTCTGTTTCTCCTCCCCATGAAACTGGGCTGGTCATATGACTTGTGTTGGCTGACAGAATGTAATAGAAGTGGCACTGTATTACTTCCAAGGCTGGCTTAAGAGATATACAGCTTTTGCTTTCTACTTTTGAGACACATCTTTGTGGCACTATGTAGGAAGTCTGTCTTTCCTAATACTAATCCTGCTGTGAGAAGGTCCAAGCTGGCCACGTGGACAGAGCAAGATCATGTAGAGGAGTAATGGGTGACCACACATGGGAGTGAAGTCTTCTTTGACCTCCCAGCCCAGCCAAGGCACCAGCTGAATGTGACCTAGTGAGTGACCGCAGGGAATGCCACATGGAGAAGAAGAACCAGCCAGCTAAGCCCTGCCCAAATTCCTGACCCCCCAAATTATAAGTGAATATATTGGCTGTTGTAGTATGCCTCTAAGTTTTGGTGTAGTTGTTCACAGCAACAGATAGCCAAAACTAAAAAGGGAAAGCTATTCTAGGGAGAGGGAACAGCATTTTAAAAACTATAGTGGTGAGAGGCAATGTGGTGTATGCAAGGAATTCTACACAGTTTGATCTGCTGGAAAGTAAAATTTGTGGAGGAAAGTGGCAGGTAATAAGTCTGGAAGTAAGCAGGAAGCTGGACATGGAGGACCATCCTATAGAGGGTGGATTCAGGAGCCTTATCAACTAAGAGCTGTGTCGAAGGGGAGAGGGTTTATTAATGGAAAGACTGACCATAGCAAGATTCAAGATCCAGTGCAAGTACTCCTGAGTCGTTTTTTTTCTCCTAACAGGTAGATCTGGGACAACCTACACAGACAGCATTTATGGAGGGAGAGGGTTACTGTTACTTGTGTGAAATGATGGGCGAGTTTGAATCTCATATTGTGAGGAAGGACTTTGTGAGGGAGGGAGTTTATGTATGATGATATTATGTTTTCTACTCAACTTCTTTTAGATTAAAACAAATTCTCTCTCTAGCTGCTTCCTCCTTCTTGGTGGCAAGATCCTCAGAAACTAAGCAGCTGGCTTTATCTTGTTCCAGAAGGAGCTGGGAATAGGAACTGAGGAGTAGGATGGATGTCAATGAAAGGACAAACTGAACAACCTAATTTGACTTATGTTCCCTAGGCTGGGTTCAGAGTCACATTCTCCCCTGTATATGTCACATTTCACCTTCATTTTCATTGTGAGGAAATGGCCATATATTCAGGGATAATTTTGGATGTTTCCCTCGCAACTCAGGCCAAATGTCTCCTCCTCCTTGTAGACAGAATAGATTGATTATTGCTGTATTATGAAACATTCAAAAAATTTTCCTGAAAGATAGATTACACGATGTCCATAACGACATGTGTTTTATTTCCTTTCTTTTCTGTACCTCTTAGCAATGTGTTGGGCTGCAGAAAAAAGAAATTTTAAAGTGGCTTAACTGGAACATTCTCAAGCTGCAAGAGAGGTCTAGAGATAGACAGACCTGGGCTTACCATCACTGAAGAGCCAGCCTTTTATTTCTGCTTCAGTTCTTCTTAGTGTGCAGTTTTTATCTTCAGGACTCATTGCTGACTTTCCAGGCATCATATTAATGTTCCAAAAGGAAAAAGGGTGCATGCCAGTCAGATCTTTCCCTTTTGAAAAGCATCCCTGGAAGTCCCAACCTGGCACTGCCAGTTATATCTCTCCAGGCAGAGCTGAGTCTCTGAGCTGTCTCTCTACAAAGGAATCTGGAAAGGTGAATGTTTTCTTCTTCTTCCAAGTTGCTTTTTTTGTTTTTCTTTTTGAGAAGGGTCTGGCTGTGTCACCCAGGCTAGAGTGCAGTGGTGTGATCACAGCTAACTGCATCTTCGACCTCCTGGGCTCAAAAATGATCCTTCATCACGAGGTCAGGAGATTGAGACCATCCTGGCTAACACGGTGAAACCTCGTCTCTGCTAAAAATACAAAAAAATTAGCCAGGCATGGTGGCGGGCGCCTGTAGTCCCAGCTACTCAGGAGGCTGAGGCAGGAAAATGGCATGAACCTGGGAGGCAGAGCTTGCAATGAGCCGAGATCACGCCACTGTACTTCAGCCTGGGTGACAGAGTGAGACTCCATCTCAAAAAAAAAAAAAAAAAAAAATAGATCCACCCCCGGCCAGCTGCCCAAATAGGTGGGACAACCACAGGTGCGTGCCACCATGCTTGGTTAATTTTTAAAAACTTTTGTTAGATAAAGGGACTCTCTATGTTGCCCAGGATGGTCTCAAACTCTTGGGCTTAAGTGATACTCCCACCTTGTCCTCCAAAAGTGCTGGAACTAAAGGCCTAAGCCACTATGTCCAGCCTTTTTCAGATTTATATAGTAAAGAAAGGCAATGGGAAAGGGGACTACTATGGTTTGTACGTTCCCTCCAAACTTCACATGTTGCCAATGTAATGTTAAGAGGGGGGACTTTAAGAGGTGATTGGTCCATGAAGGTTCTGCTCTCATGAATGGGATTAAAGCCCTTGTAAAAACAGCTTCATGGAGCATTTGGTCTCTTGCCCTTTTACCTTCTGCCATGTAAGGACATACAGCTCCTCCCTGCTGGAGGACACGGTGTTCAAGGCACCATCTTAAAAGCAGAAACCAAACCCTCACCAGACTACGAACCTACCGTGCCTTAATCTTGGACTTCCCAACCTCCAGAACTGGGGAAAATACTTTTTGTTCCTTATAAATTATCCAGTCTCAGGTATTTTGTTATAGCAGCACAAATGAGCTAACCTAGGAACTGTATGTGGCTTTTGGGTGGTCCATCTACAGAGGCCTTCACAGGGCCCATCCTCTCTACACTTTCCCAGGTATCTGAAGGCATTTTTTTAGGTCTGCCTTAGTAGTTGCAAAACCATTTGCTCTACAGTGGGATATAATTATAATATAGCTTACTTGAAAATACATAGCATAATATCTTGGGCCCAGGATAATATAGTAAAACTTCCCTATTACATGATTAGCGGGGCCCAAACAACCCAATTACAGAAAATATGGGGTTATTCTGAGGGTAAAAACATAAATATTGGGGGCAAGCCCAGGCTGGGAGGTGTGTGTGTGTGTGTGTGTGTGTGTGTGTTTGAGACAGTCTCGCTGTGTCACCTAGGCTGGAGTGCAGTGGCACAATCTCAGGTTCAAGTGATTCTCCTGCCTCAGCCTCCGGAGTAGCTGGGATTACAGGCGCCAACCACCAGGCATGGCCTTTTTTTTTTTTTTTTTTTTTTTTATTTTTAGTAGAGACAGGGCTTCACCATGTTGGTCAGGCTGGTCTCGAACTCCTGACCTCTCGAACTCCTAATCCACCCACCTCAGCCTCCCAAAGTTCTGGGATTATAGGCATGAGACACTGCGCCCAGCCATATGTGTCTTCTAATTATAATTTCTTAAACAGCTTTATTAAGGTATAATTTAAATACCATAAAATTCACTAAGTATACAATTCAATGATTTACAGAGCTGTGCAACCAGCACCACAATCCAATTGTTGAAGACTTCCATCAACCCTCTTAAATGTCTCACGTCCATTTGTATAAATGGAGACAAATGAACAAAAGCCCAGACTGGGAGTTTTTAGGGTCGAGTCCAATCAGTTCTCGGTTTGGCTACAGTTTGGTGCCACCTGGTGGTGTCTGTCTGGCTTTCTGGGACGAGGCCAGGGTTCCCAGGAATCTCCCAGTTAGTAGGCAAGCATTTAATCAACCTATTCTTGGGGAGACTAGACCAGTAAAATACCGGACTGAAAGACACCCATCCTCTATCTTTTGGTTTAGTGAAGGACCTGGCTACTGTTTCTCTGCCTGGTGTTATTCTACCTGCTAAGGAGAGGAGTCAATCACATACCCCAATTCACATATCCCAGTTTGCATTACTGAGAGCATTGCAACACACACATACACGTATCTATAATTATTAAAGCAGTATATTAAGTGAGCACAAACAGAAAACATTATCCGTTATCTTGAAATCATCTCTATGGGTTATTTCTTCCCCTGACCTAGATGAAGTCTCTGGCATCTTCCAGAGCTTTTCTGGTCACTCTGAGACAATGAAAAGTTGTCTGGTTACTTTCATCTAATTATACCCTCGTTTCTGTAAACTGTCATGTCCAGTATCATGATCAAAATTCACAACTTCAACCAACATTATGGCTTGCTCCTCTCCTGCTTGTCCTATTCCATGCCAGAAGCCTGCAGTGGGATGGGAGGGTGGGGTCAATCTCTTTTCTGCACTCCCATTAGCTGTTGTTTCTGACTCCTGGGAAGGATAAAGTCTAGGGGATGGGGTAGGGGGTGGGTACACA